CCGGCGAAGAGGAAGCCGCGCAATGTATCGCTAGTTTGCTGGAGGATTTGAGATGTCAACTTATCCACACCGTGGAGGCTGAGAGTCGCTACACTCTTGTTCTTGATCTTCGTATCGGTGGTGCTGGACAATAAAGCTTTGTGCTGTCTCTTGATCTCGGCTTTGAGAATGCTGTCAAGCTTCTTGTCCTTTGATCGAATTTCGCGTTCGTTGGCAGAGAAGTAATCGCGCCAACCTACCCCTCCGAACGGGCGTTTATTGAACGCTTCGGAAAGGGCGCGGTAGGTTAGGAGGACCTCGGACTGCTTTTCATCAATCTGCGCGTTGAGATCCATGTCAAATGTTACAATACCAATGATGTCAAAGACTAAATTTGTCGTATATGGGCCGAGTGTGAACGCATCGCCGGATGCGGCCTTTTGTTCCATGAGCTCGATAAAAGTCTCGGATTTGTCCAGGATGACATCAACTAGACCAAGAAGATGACTGGGTTGAAAGCCAGGACGTATGCGCTTGTAAAGTGCATTCCATTCATCTCCCTGTAGTCAATGATCAGTTCCTGGATACCCGAAATTGCTAGAGAGGCTCAAGAAAGCTGACTTACATCAGTGGTGACCAGAGATCTTGCACCAACAAGAGGAGCTAATTGCTGGATAGCAGGGTGCTTGGGCATACTAGTTCTGAAAGCCTTATTCGGTTTGGTAACTTGCTCAGCAACATCGTTGTCCAGAACAAATAGTATGGGGAACTTCTCGATCGGGCGAAAGTCGACAAAAAGAACTGGAGGAAATCCGAGCTTTTCCGCCTGTTCATACAGCATCTCATCGAATTGGCGTCGAGGATCGCCTTCTCCTGCGATCTTCTCGACCCATGCCCAGTGACCTCGAATGGGGTCTGCTGGTTCAGGTTGTGGGAAATGAGAATACTGCGCGAGATCGGAAGTCTTGGCCTTGGTCTTTCGTAGGTAGTAGGCTATGGCAAGTGGGATTGCTGCGAATATGAGAAATTTCCATTCGAAGAGCGCATTTAACTTCGCCAATTCCTGAGACGAAAGCAAGTCCGATAGCGCCATGTTTACCGGGAGAGAAGTACCGTACTTGCTGACAGAGCCGGGCGAAACGCTCCTATGTACCGTACAACAAGCTTCGCGAGAACAACACCGGCCCCATTGAAATGCGCCATCATGTCATCGGCGCCTCTGACCTATTGCGTGAGACAGTGTGGTGATTTCGGCGTGATGTCGGACATGGCATCAGCATCAATGTGGTAGGTGATCATCAGATAAGATGGCATCAGATTAGATTAAACAAGGGTGAGTACCGTCCCGCCCATCATAGTCCAAACCCCAAACTTGGCACGAAAGAAAGCCAGGAAGAAGTTTGAGCTAGATGCAGCCGCTGTTTCTCGCTGATTCGCTAAAGGTTCGTACTTCCTGCATGTCAAGCAAAATTCTGCATCTTGGCATTGCGGACTGTGATCCGTGTTCGGCGAGGGGTGTGGATGCTTCGCAAACATCGCGATAGGGGTTGCAGTGAACAGAACGCAAGCTGCGGATGCCATAGTCTGCAGACATCAATGCGACGATGTTTTCTTCGAAAGCATAGTGTGGTGTTCAGGAATCCTGCTAGGTCGTTTGCGCGACGGCTCGCGAGGGTGCATTCGACGGTGGGGATCGTTGGTGAGGCGAAGCGGGGCCTCCCGCCATACGTACCCCTCATGTCTGATGGAAAGAACCATCTCATGTTGTTATTGGTACCTTCTGTACCCACTAGCGTACTGCCTATATAGTCAGAATCCTCCATAGAATCAATGCATCACTCTTATATCCCAACAATGTCCTCCTCTTCTTGCTCCTCCCATATGTCTGTCCAAGCCCAAACTCTTCCATCGCTTCTGAAACGCAGATGATCAGATCGCCATTCGCTTTCGAGCCTGGTGGAAGTTCTTTCCCAGCCCACTCCTTCGTTACAAGTTTCAGATCCGCAAAGCTAGGTCTCTTGTGTTGCCGGTAGTCCATGCACCAGATGATTGTGTCTTTGAGCGTCTTGCTATACATATTAGAAGCCTCGAAAGGCGTCTTGCCGGAGAACAAGTCGTCTTTGTGTTTTTGGATGTCGTATTCGAAGCCGTCGTTCAAAAGCTTTTCAATTCCTTCGCCTTCATCAGACACCGTGTAGGTGAACGGCTCGTGAACAAACCCATCTTTTCCGGGTAAATTCATAACCAGGTTCCACATCATCTGTCCAACTTGCCAGACGTCTGTTCTGGCCGTCATCTTTTCGGAAGGTCTTTCGTCTAGGTAGTGACCTTCGTAGCACCAAAACATCTCTGGAGCGTATCTTCCCCCAGCATCCTTAGCGTCGAGAAGGTGGTTTCGCATCATATAATGCGTAGGATTGTCGGCGTAGTCGTCATTTCCTGACTGTAAGTCGAAGAATGCGAGGTCAAAGTCTGCAAGGACAATAGAAGGAGCCTAGCGTTTCGTTAGCCCTAACGACATATGGAATGTGACAAGAGCATTACCTCGTGTGCGCCAAACTGACGGTATCGATGTCCGTCTTCTTTGCTGATCTCTTTACCTACAGCGCCATCGGCTGGTTTCACGAATACATTCCCAAGATGGCCATCACGATGCAAGATCTCGTTCCAGTCGACGTCATCGTCCTCTTCATTGATGCGCCCCGAACCCAACATGGCGAGGGCATCCACAAGCTGGTCAAACACTATCCAGAGAAACCATTCTGGAATAACTTCAGGTAAATCTACTGGGAGAGGATCGCCGTGCCAGTCACCAAGCTCTGACATGTTCTCACACTCATAGGAAAGGACGTTGGTTGGCAGTGGCAGTTCTCCAGGGACGGTAGCATGTACAGGCTTGCCCGCCTTCAGAAGTCGCTTCTTTTCGAAAGCATACCAAGCACAGTCATTTACTGCTTTCAAGTCTTGTTCTTGTTGGTTAACATCTAGTATTCCAGATGCCGGTATGTCCCCACGTGCTCTCAAGATATTCCTGATCTCAGGATGAGAGTTTTGCCATCGAAACATATTACGTCTTCGTCTCCACTGACGCGAATACCAGTCCAGTGACTGGCAGATATCACCCATATCGCAAACCTCGTTGAAAACACGGAAGCGTCGTTTCTTTACGTCGATGCGATGGCCGTGGTACCTATGCACGTGGTGCTCATGTGCTTTGCGTCTTTCGAGTCGTATCTGGATGGCCAGCTCCATCGGTAACTTGTCGCGCTAGAAAACTGGCCCAATCCATTTCTGTGATTCAACGACAACGTCTCTCACTGCCAACCTCTGACAATCACGTTAGCTCAGTACTGGCTTTTCGATTAGCAAATTACCTCTGCAATCGTTCCCGACTCGTCAACGCCAACCCAGAGAGTAACAGTCCCAGTAAAACCTTGGCCAAGTATGTTCGCGCACCTCCATTCCAAATTTCGCCCCTCTCTTCCAGGGTCGCACAACCCTGCGTCTTCGAATCTACGCATTCTGCGCCTCTTCGCTGTTTCTCTTTCCTTTTCCGATTTTTCTTCACCGTCATTGATATTTAACATCGGCGGCAATTCTTGATTCACAGCACGGAAATTAGGTTGATACAAGAAATTTGTCGTATTCGCCTGAGCTACTTGTGTTCCCGCATCTACCCCTTGTGCAACTGGCGCATGAGCTGCTCCTCCTAAAGGAGGCGCTGGGGCTGGGCCGGCAGCAGGAGCAGGAACTCGAACTGGAACTGGAACTGGAGCTGGAGCTGGAGCTGGAGCTGGAACAGAAGCTGCAGTTGGGATTGGGGCTAGGACTGTGCCTGCAGGTTGGGGTAGTTGGCCACGATTTTGTACATGAGTTAGGTCTGCTCGGGTATACGGTCGTGCTGGTATCGGATTTGGCGCTGGCAGTCCAGGTTGTCGACGTTGATCGGCAGTTCGGCTAGCGATGTAATAGTTTCGAATGACTGGATGCAAGAGCCAGAGTGCATCGATTGTCGTGTTCATTTCGCCTACTCGTATCAGCACATGAGGCTGTATGAAGATAATATACCTACCTATACTCCATCCTGTCCTATGAAGCCTGATCCACTCTTTTGCGTCCCATCTAAAGTACGTGATCGGTTCCTTTAATGGCGGTCCAGATTGAGGCATTATGTTGGAGAGTTACAGTGGTCTATGGCTTCTTTGCGTCGATGGAGCGACCGTTAGTATCTTGATCTGACCTTCTATACCAAACTGGCAGCGAGATCAACATTTTGGTGCTGAAGTTGCCCATTGTTCGGTAGGTAGACAAAGACGCGACGCAAGCGGCCGTCGCTTTCTCTAGAAAAGATCCTCTGTATGACAACATAACAAAGGACTTTCGAAGTGAAAGCCTATATTACACTAAGGTCAGAATGTAACCGACAGCATGGTCAATCCCTTCATGAAGTTAGCACCGTAACAAGATCTCGGGTTCATGTTACTGTCTGGTCTCGCTCGCCTGCCGAATAAGATACATCTTATGATGAACAATGGCTCTACTATTTCATCGGCAGTCGTTGATCGCAACCGGCTCGAGACTGGGCATGCTAAGAAGATTGGAAGCCTGCTGACGCTTAGATACGGATGACCAGTAAATTGTGAAGATTGGCGCGCGTGAGGCAGATTTCACCAGCCACGAAGACGGCAGCCTCGGATTCATTCATACTACAATGAGGTCCTTTTGGTGTTGCTCCACATCCCAGACACGACGCATCATCCATCAGAATCTTCCATCACACAAGTCTATGCTCTGATGCTTCGACGGGTATCTCTCGACCATCGATCTCGACGTGCGGCGCGTCCGCTTTTCCGGCAAATAGCTGGGCATGTTGATGAGACTCTTCAGCTTTTACGTCCCATGTTGGGCCTTTGATCGATTCTCCATGTAACTCCGGCTTGGTGCCAGATTCAGAAGTGCCTGCCTTAGAAACCTGCTTCTTGCGCCTCATGAACCACCACAATCCTCCTAGTATAACACCTATGGCTATCAAACCCACACCAAGCCCTACACCGAGAGGGACTCCGAGACTAGAGTTGTTGTTCGTTGGCGGAACTAAGGTTGCTGCGGGAGAACTACTTGTCGGTGTGGTTGTCGAAGGTGTCGCTACCGAAGACATCATTGTCGAAGATGTCGCTGCCGAAGACGTTGTGGCGAAAGATGCTGTCGATACATCCAAGGCCAATAACGGTACACCTCCGCCTCGTGAACAATCGCACCCTGCGTCGTGACAGCACCATTTCTCGGACACCTCTACCGCATCGCCTTGCTGTACCAAAGATTGGATTTCTGCAATACTCTTATCGTCGTCGCAAGGGTATAGGGTATTCGAACTCTCTGTGGTCGTCGAACACACGCTGATACACAAAGGGCTTGTCCAAGTTTGATCGGTGCAAGTCGTACGCCAGAAGCTGCCCCATGGTTCATCACGTGTTGGGTATGGATTCCAGATAAGACCGTTGGACTGACAGATGTCATTGGAATCGTAACGACGATCCATACACATGGAATATTGGTCGTTGTGACAAGGCTCAAAACCGTCCGCCACTGTACCGTTCCGCCAATAACAGGTAGTATAATCCTCCATCATAGGCACACCTCCAGGCAGAGTGAGTAGAATGAGTGTCACAAATGGAAACAACCCTGAATGAGATGGAAAAAGGACGAAGTAGACAAATGATAGATAAAAAGCTTTTCCTCATGCGCGCGAAGGCACGGCTCTTTAACAATGCTGTGCATTCTACCTGCCTATGTGAACGCCCCCGAGTACTTAAGGCAAGACTCACGAATTATAGTCTCCGAACTACCGAAGTCCAATTGGCGCCTAACCGTCTGGAAAAACGCCACCGGGGTCGCTGCACTCTGTGGCACTCTCTTGTCAACAGTCTGTACCAGCATCCCCTGGTTCTCCTGACGCCAAAAGTGACAAGAAGGATTGCGACTCCTGATAACACTTTCTTCGTCGGATACGGCTATGCAGCCAAGACTGTGGCTGTATTGGGGGCCTGACTGCAGCCACATATTGGAGGCTGCCTCAATGACCAGCTTGGGTCGAAGATACTCTTGTCGAATACCTGGACGTGGTTGTATACAAAGCAGTTACTATCGCATCAAGCATCAATCAATGGAGTTGTGGGGATTGCAAGTACATCTCAATAACGTATCAGAACTGAAGTAATACTATCGCGATATCGCAGTGGCTGGCTTGACGAAAGGAGTCAAAAGCAAACCTTAGACAAGCACTATCATGATATGATTGGCTCCACAACTTTAGAGCTGCCGTTGATAGACGGTCATTAGCCTTGTCTGGGTAGGTGTTGGGCCAATGTTTGTTTGAAGTCTAATCATATTATTCGCGGTCACTGTGGGTGTTGTTGATTGAATAGGCATCTGCCGTTCTTTCAGCTACTGCTTGGAAAGCCTGTGCGTCGAGCTGGCGCATCTGATCCGCGAGCCGCGACACTATGGCTAAGCAGGAGGGAAATTAATCTTCTGAGGGGCGACAAACGAGTACTTCCAGATAGCCTTCCTCGTTAACTCATTGCTTGCGCTTGCTAGTTCCTGCCTCCAGTCATCTGTTATTGTCGTCCTATAGGTATGCATGCCCATCAACGCCTTTTCGATGGATTGACTTTGGTTTGTCGTTTTCTGCCTTGCCTTTGTCCCTCTCCTCGTCACTTTCGTCTTCGGCTTGAGCGACCGCCAAACCCGACACACCACCCAAGTTTGGCAGTACAACCGGTATTGGCAAGTTGTCTCCAAGGCGTGTATGACGCGTGCCTAATGGCATGTATGATATGTGTGGTATAGAATTCGGATCTGGTAGGCTGGGGCTTGTAGGATGGTCGAGATATGTTTTCGCGGAGTAAAGTCGAATGGCATCGCTTCCGTGCCAGAGGGTGGTCATCGCATCCGGTTCCTGTTCTAATCTCTAAATTAGATCCCGCCGTACATATGACATGCGCCAACGTACCTCTACTTTAACCGCCTCTTTTTGCCTCTGTGTGTTCACCGTCATCTCCACATACGTAGCTGTAGTCGCTGTGGAACAGCGACACCATTGTGAGATCTCCGACTCTGGTTATAAGGATCAGGTAGCACAACGAGTGTCGAGTACGTGGCTGTCAAGCTGCCGATATCGATTGTCGAGCCCATCGAGTTGAGCTTATAGTCAGGATCTCAGACGAAGGAGAATGTTGTTAATAGAGGCGAATAACGACTAAGAACGATCGTGATATGCGATCGATGGAAGCTAAAGTTAATGAGGTCAGTGAGCGATGCATGGTGCAGTGCCAGCGTTGATAAATCGTATTCAGGGCCTAGTCACGTCGCAGCGTTCATAGCGACTTGACAGTGACAACAAAAAGGGCAGGGTAGTGTCCCGCATGACAACTGGATTTCGGGCTAAGATACTCAGTAGGTCGTACCCTCACGAGGCAACAATGTGGCATGTCTGTTCCGCATGATGCGGTCAACCTACCCAGAGCTTTTCAGGTCATCGAACGATATGAATAAGCTCGTGTCATAACATCGACAAATAGACAATCGTGCATGTTCGCGTCAATCAAGGAATTGTTTGGAAAGTAGCAGAGGGTAAGCTAAACTTGCTGTGATTGCCGATGGTGTTGGTAAAGCCATGCTCGGAGTGGTGAGCTGTGATGTTTGGGTGCGGGAAGGAGACCAGGAACGCGATGGAACGTGCACGCTTATCTCAGTAAGCGAGCGATTCCCGAGTCAGCCCCGTCCGGTCTCTGCTCCCTGTTTACATACAAATTACAAAAGAGATCGCCCGTGATGAATGTCAAGAGTTAGATTCAAGTAATAAGAACAGCATGCGCACACATGCTAGCATTATAGTTAAAACCACACCGCACAGTTACGCAAACGCACGAACAACCATAAGTATTGCATCGCGCGAATCTTACTCAGACATATTACTAGAAGCTAGCACGGCCGTTACAAGGTTAATTGTTAAATACTAAAAGATGTTTTGACTAGTATCAAGCGAGTAGATGTTATTACACCGGAAGGTTGCATTTTAAACTTCTGCAACAGCAAGTGATACCCTTACCAAACAGCTTATTTATATATGCATAAGATCTTAGGTCCCTCTCAAGAGGACAATGTTAGTTACTTGCTGAACACAATATCCAAGGAACAGCCATGGGGTCCGGCCTCGTATTGTGGCTGCACGGCCTTGCTTCTCGTATTTTGTTGGTAACAACCTTTACAATGTGCACAAACATTCACAGCCTTGGGTAAGCATCGATCTACTGGTGAGAGGACTCAGACTGATTCCGCAGCCATCCGGACATCTCAGCGAATATAAAATGCAAGCAGAATCACCTGTGTCATTCGATATCAATTCCAGCATCATAACTCACTTCAACTGTCAATCGCTTCGACAATCACCCTACAATCAAAACCTCTTCTCTATTCAAGATGCTCTTCGCCAACACCAAGACATTGATGTCAATCCTTCTTGCTATTAGCGCAATTCCCAGTGGTCTATGCGCTCCTACCTCCAACTCTGTGGATGCAATTGCAGTTCGAGAGATTTCTTCGTCAGCTCCCCTCGACGTGGGTATTGATCTCTCCGACAAGGCCGGCGTGTCTCGCGCCATTACTGAGCGCGACGCCGCCAATGATTTCCATCTAGCCAAACGTTACCTCATTGGCTCTCCATACCAGAAGCGAACGATTCAGGTCGGCTTGAAGAAGGCTGTACACGGCCTTGCAGCGGGTACCACCTGGCTTTGGGAGATCAGCTATGGATACACCACCACCAACGGAGGCAAAGAAGGGAAGGTGTCTGGCAATCTTGTTAAAGGCGACGGCTCATTTGCCTGGGGCCCGTTCAAAATTGACCAGAGTTTTGTCAACAGCGTCGATGGCATCGTGACAGCAACTTTCAACGCCGTTGTCGCAAGAACAAACGAGAAGATCCAGTTTGTCCTGACTTGGGCTGAGGAGTTCACCTCCACAGGTGCAACTCTGGAGGATCATGGTAGATCCAGCTCTTTTACCTACTTCACTGCCGGCGGCCGCCAGGAACGTTTGGGCCAGGAGTTTTTTGAGTACGGCTTCAAGCAGAGCTAGAGAATTTGAAAGTTTTTAGGCCATACCCCGTGATGGGAGTCATGGCAATTGCGGAACCCCCACTCTCATTTGGCGGCGGTCTATGAGACGCGCGTTTACACTCCTTTGTTAGCAGATAATCTCTGGACCTTCCAAAAAGCGCTTGAATACCATTGTGTGAAATACCTGTACATGGCTTAGTGCAGCTACATAAAGGCGTAAACGAATTTCCATCATACTACACTATCCATGAACTTGACTATTTCTGGCCCTGGGTTTAGTACACTTAGAGCTATTCTATTAAAGTTCGAGGCTTCTTTACTTTACGAATATGTTTTTGTGAAGCTAGGCAAAGGTTTTGGTCATATTGGTACCCTTTTCGTGAAAGCCTTTGCTAAGATTTATATTGATATCACTCTCTGCGTGCTAGAACACCAGGTATACTAGGATAAATAAAAGATTGTGTAGCTTTTAGCACTTCGTTTTCTTGAAACACTTTGATGATTATGATGATAAGGTATACGTGTGCACAGATATCAGTTCGTTGTCAGATTGGACTGGCCTGACTGATAGCAACTCTGTATGTGACACGCGCAATATTCTTCCAGCATAAACCGCAACAGTGAATCTTTGCGGAAGCCTGTTGGGTTGATGCCCGCGCGCTGATAACAACAAATTCGCAAACTGAACTTGGGAAGTTTTGTGTATTATTCAGCAACCGGTCCATTCCACTTGCACCACCCATCCTTCCCTCTGCGGACCTCCCAATTCTCGCTTCTCGTCCTGATTCCTGCTAATACACCTTCGCTGCCGTCGCCTCTGAGCTCAGTTACCCAGCCTCTGATACCGGCCTTCTCTTCTTCTGTTAACATTATGCCAAACCACTTTTCTAGCGCATGTAGTCTCTGCTCCTCGGTCATGCAGTCTTCCACAACTGTGGTCCCCCCTCCCAAATTCTCTTTCACAACGCCGTTGACCAGCATGCGTTTGCCGTAGATCTCTTGGTCACTATCTCTAACATCAGACTTCACGCGGCGCAAGAACTTTACAATGATACAAGTGAACGTCTGGAAGCTCTCTGGGTGCGAGCCAGTATACCAATTAATATTGCGAAAATCCGCCTCTATGGCTTCTTCTTCAGAGAACGCGTAGAACGAGTTCCACGCATGCTCAGGGCCATTGCGGTACTGGTAAATCCAAAGCTTGGTCCCATCCGTCCGGTGCAACTGTGCAGGAATCCAGTCATGCCAGAGCCGAATCTCCTGTCTTCCTAAATTTGTCTTTGGGCAATCATGAACGAGCTGCATGGGTGCTGTAGGACCGTCGCCGCCAAAACCAACGTCGAGAGCCCATTTGGTGCCGTCCGCTAAGCTAACAAGATTGACGAGGTGCACCCAGCCGCTGTAGTCACCCTGTGGAACACCATCTAGACGATGCCTGATTCTCACGGGAGCGAGATAGGCCGGGAAGCCTAGTCCACGTAGCATGTGATTGAAGAAGATCGATACCTGGAAACAGTAGCCGCCGCGCCCGCGCCTATTGGCGATGATGCTGTTGAATGTGTCCTGCGGCTTGATGTTGTTCGTGTGAGTAGGGTTGTAGTGGAGCCAGAGGTTCTCGTAAGGAATGGCAGCGATGGTATGTATATGCAGCTGTTGGAGGAAATGAAGATCCTGAGCGGCATTGCCTGAGAACCTCTGCTGCTGGAGCAACGAAGAAAGACCAATGTATTTGAGGAACGACACAATCTGGTCCTCGCTGAAAACGGATGGAAAGGCCATGGTGGTGAGGATTCAGAGTGGGAGAAGCTCGATGTCAAAGTAGGTATTTTCTACTTCTATGTTTCCGAGATCGGGGTGTGACTCAGAAGAAAGATCCGACGCGGTACCAGCTGAAGACTCATTGTCGTTTTTGAATAGTGGGGCGCTTTC